AAACTCTGATCCGACTATCCGGTGGGTTTCGAATGTCTGCTGAGAAAGGTAACAAGCGATAATACATTTTTTAGGAAGAATGAGATATACAATGGTCGCCAAGGTGGCGTCTACATTTTTGGAGACGGACGAGGTCTTATCGAATGCAATGACATTTACGGTAACGCGCTTGCCGGAATCCAAATTCGCACCGGTTCTGACCCGATCGTTCGCCACAACAAGATCCACCATGGTCAGCATGGTGGTATTTACGTTGTATGGTGTCTCTGCGAATCCAGTCACTTTTGTAAACAAGTTTCTTGTTTTAACAGCACGAGAAGGGAAAGGGTCTCATTGAGGAGAACGAAGTATTCAGTAATACGCTAGCAGGAATTTGGGTTACAACTGGCTCAACGCCTATTCTGCGAAGAAACCGTATTCACTCCGGCAAGCAAGTTGGAGTCTATTTTTACGATAACGGCCATGGACTGTTGGAGGAGAACGACATTTTCAATCATCTTTACTCTGGTGTTCAGATAAGGTACATTCCTGCACTGTTTAATTATTATTGCACTTACTATTATTCACATATTCATTTAGTTTTGTCCATTTTTTTGAGCGAATAAACGTTGTTTTTGAATCTGTTGCATCGTCATGCACGACTTTGTGTATAAATTTCATTTAGTCATAGGGGAGAACTTTCGGCGTGAAGGTTTTGTTTTCAGAAAATGTTGTCGCATTACCATGTGCAGCAGAACTTTCATGCCGATGATGCTTCATACGTTGACATGTTGGATAGATGATTAAATTTTCTGACTCATTTCCAGGATCGTTTCTTAAGCTGGCTTCTTCATCCATCGTGGCAACATTCGACTACCTTAAGCTTTCTTTTCTGAACTTGAATTGCTGACTTAGCTATCTGATCTTACCTAATTAATTCAAGCGTCATGCAATTGCGTCTGCATCTAGCAACGTATAGATCTAGCTCTTTATGGCCTATGTAAGTACTAGATGGAGTAAAGCATAAGATCAACTAGGTATCTGGCTTATTCGTGCAGATTGAGAGTTGAGGCAGTAAGCAATAGACCGGTAAATGTGCCCAGTTTCAAAAATGCAACCTGTTGAGGTCAAAAAAGTTTAGCGTCAGCAATATATTTTAAGAATTTCGATATGCGTAGACATTAGAATCGAAAGTGTGGCGCTGTAAAATAATTTTGGCCATTACATCACCATGGCTTTGGAAAATTTCTCGTAGTACTACTGTGATGCGAAGTTTTATTGCATTATTGGAATCAGTGATCAATTTTTAAGAGACAGCAATAATCATGTGACAATTCATTCTGCAAAGCATTCCCAACACAGTTCTAAGCAGTTACTGCGAACAGGAAGTCAAATGTGTGAACTTGACCAGAAGTGCGCAAGTGTAACAATATGATATTTCAAGAAGCTGACTTCAAAAATAAAGCGCAAATATCAGAGACACAGGCTGCATTGGATATGCAAGGTAGCGGGTCTCAGTCGTTTTCTGGTAAAGTCTGAACACAAAATCAGTGAAGTTGAATCGGCTGCGACAAAGTTCACTTCAGATAATATTCTGGATTCTTAGCAGATTGTCTATGCAGCGCTTTGCTATATATAATTCATGCATTAAAATCGTGTCTTTCAATTAATCTGTTGTTTTATTCGCAGCTCTCTGAGCATATGGCGTCTTCGGATTTATGGTGATCGATGGATCTAGCGGTAAAAATTGTTTGAAGAGCAAATTTTATTGCCTGTACATTTACACACAGGTGAAGGTATGTTTGAGTTCAGCTCTGTCAATGCTTGGGCGCACTGCAGACTTAGATAATACAAAATTGCCGTTAATTTTTTTCTTTATCCGTTTTTCTGTGTTGCTTAAAAACGTAATGATTTTTGCAGTACTGTTCAAGTAGTAATAATTATCTGTCTTTTTAGGACAGGAAGCAATCCGCATATTCGTCGCAACAAGATTTGGGGTGGACAGAATGGCGGTGCGTTGATATATAATGGAGGACTGGGGCTGCTGGAGGAAAACGAAATATTTGACAACACGATGGCAGGCGTTTGGATCAAAACTGAAAGTCATCCGGTATTGCGGCGAAACAAGATTTTCGATGGCCGTGACGGCGGTGTCTGCATATTCAATAAAGGAAGGGGTACGAGCCCTGTTTTACATGCATGTTTTAGGCAGTACATTTTTAGGTGCTTAGCTTTGCTTCATATATATATATATATATAAACAATGATTAGAAAATATCGCTAAGCACCTATATATATAGGTAGGTAGGTCAC